GGTGGCTCGTCGGCCCACCGCGAGGCCACCCAGCGCGCGGCGGGCCTGGGAACGTGCGGAAGCGGGGTCGCCTGTCCTGTGCGGCCTTGGCCGGGAGCACCCCTTGCGCAGGGGCGGCTGGAGGGGGAGGCGGAGTAGGGAGCGGTGGCGTCCTGTGCGGCAGCCCTGAAACCCTTTGGATTGTGCATCCTCCCGTCGCACAGATCTGCGCTCGCTCCCCCAGGGAGTATGTACGTATTTGCGCGCTGGGGCGCGTCAGGCATATTGCAGAAGTGAAGGAAGATAGGCGATTGAACGAACCCGGGGCTTACCGCCTGGGTTTTAAGTGGACGGACGGCCACGCCGGCGGTGGATGTCAGTACGTCCGGGCTGTAGAAGGTCCTGGCAGCACGTGCAGCTGAGCGCCTCTCAGCGGACTCTCCTTCGTGCTGTTCGCCTGCGGGCCCGCAGCTTCTGCACAGAGTGCAGGCTGCCCAACTGGGTGAGAGAGTTGCAGACTGTTGAAAAACAGTGAAATCCAGGATTCCGTACTCAGAAGTTTCCTGGAAGTCTACAATTTCTTGTTCGTTTTTAGACGGCAATGACGGGGTTCACCCGCTGTGCATTGTGTCCTGTAGAGATAGGGGTGAGATGGTATCTGGTAAGCAGGGCTCTGCTCAGAAAAAGCTGGGGCCCTACCCGAGGAGGGGACGAGTGGGTATATACTTGTTTTTAAGTCAGATTTGTATCATTTTTGTCACTGTTCAGCCCACCTTTACAATTTACTGATCAACTGTTGGTCTCAATCTAGTTGGATACCGAGGCTTCTCTTTCAGAGAGAAAAGCCCCTCCATGGTCCTGTACCTCTGTTGGCCCCAGCTTCTGCCCCAGTGCCCTCATAGCTCTGGAGCTGGCCAGCGTGGGATGCGGAGGATGGAGAGCCTGGGTTGGAAATGTGATGGGAACTGAACTCTAAGAAAGAGATGTTGTCCTTGAAAAGCCCTTCCCTTGTGAGATGCAAGAAATTCAATGTCCCTTCCGAGGGCAGGTGGCCATCCTGTCAGTGGAGGTGGACAGTGAGGAAGGTTCTGCCCGGGTTGGGTGGATGGTTTTGGTGGAGATAGAAGCTTGTGACCTGAGGGCTTTGGCCTTGGAGGCTGACCACACAGAGCCATGGGTCATCAGGGTGCCTGTGGGGTGGTGGGTGGCCTGGGGGTGTGGCCGTCATCAACACTGTGCTCCTTGCAGCCTTCTCTCGCCTGTGCTCCTGCTCCCAGCCTCCAGGATGGCAGTGATTCTGGCCTGTCTGAAAGCGAGGAGAGTGTGTTCTCAGGCCTGGAAGATTCCGGCAGCGACAGTAGTGAAGATGACCCAGCTGAGAGAGAGGATGGGGTCAGCAGTGATGAGGGCCCCAGCGGAATGGAGAAGACCACTGGGCAGCAGGTGCAGGTGGGTGAGCGAGGAGCCTGCCAGTAGGCTCTCCTCTCTAGATGAAGATGGCCAGGAAAGAAAGTGACTGCCAGGTCTTAGGCTCTCTGGGGGGCTGTCCCCACACTGCTTTCTCCCAAGTTTCCTTAGGAACCCCAAGGCCCACATCCTTCCTCTGATGCACCTGTGGGCACATTTGGCGCCAAGTGGAACACTTGATTAGAGCTGGAGTGCTCTGAGCTCTTGGGGGTTGTTTTTCAACCACAGTTATGTGCTCTGTTCTCAGGAACTCCAAAAATCCACATGCCTGGGCCTCTTCAGGTGATTCTGATGTCACCTCTCCATGGAACTCAGCCCACTTTCAGTTGTAGGCTGGGTTTCTTGCGGGCAAAGCCTGAGGTAGGGATTCATGTGCAAGGGACTGCCTGGTGGGGAGCTCACAGGACACACAGGGAGCCACCCGAACACCTGAGCCTGATTCCAGGGAGCCTGGCTGGGTGAGGCTTTGGCCTGTACCTGTCCCTGTGATGATGGGGAAGGGTGCACTTCCCCCTTGTCTTAAGTGAGAAAAATGAGAGAAAAGCTTAATTTAATTAAGATACAGTATTTGCTCTTTGGAATGTTTTATTTATTTATCTATTAAAAGATTTTATTTGACAGAGAGAGGGAGAGAGACAGCGAGAGAGGGAACACAAGCAGTGGGAGTGGGAAAGGGAGAAGCAGGCTTCCCAAGGAGCAGGGAGCCCGACGTGGGGCTCGATCCCAGGACCCTGGGATCATGACCTGAGCCGAAGGCTCACCTGAGCCACCTGGGCCACCTGGGCACCCCTAGAATGTTTTAGAAAGTAGTTCATAACTATTTGTATTTCCAATGGGTCTGGTGTCCTGAAGGTTATGACCTTGAGTCATACAGAAATCTAGTCCCATAATAGAAACCAAAAAGCCATGCTTGTTTGATCTGTTTCCTAGGAAGAAAGGATTTAAAGTCAGATTTAAACCTTTTTTTTCTTTTTTTTAAGATTATTTATTTGAGAAAGAGCAGGGGGGAGGAGCAGAGGGAGAAGCAGACTCTCTGCAGAGCAGGGAGCCCTATGCAGGACTTGATCCCAGGACCCTGGGACCACGACCCAAGCCGAAGGCAGACACTTAACTAACTGAGCCACCCAGGTACCGAGATTTAAACCTTCTACCCATTCAAGCTTTAGTCATAATGCTGGTGTGCATAGAGAGATGATGTGCAAACTGTATTGACTGTGGTTTGTAGGATGATGGGCAACTGAACTGTTTTTCCTCCTTTTTTTTTTAACTTTTTAAAATTACAAAATGTACCTTCCTTGACAAAAATTAAATCTTTCATCAACACTACTCAGTAAAGAGTGGAAGTTCTTCCTCAAGACCAATGCTCCAATTGGTGACCACCGCTAATAATCATCTTTCCACGTCATTGCTCCTTTTACAATTAAGGATCCACACATTTATTTATTTATTTATTTTTAAGTAGGCTCCACGGGACGCCTGGGTGGCTCAGTCGGTGAAGCATCTGCCTTCGGCTCAGGTCATGATCCCGGGGTCCTGGGATCGAGTCCCGCATCGGGCTCCCTGCTCAGCGGGAAGCCTGCTTCTCCCTCTGCCGTGCCCCCTGCTTGTGCTCGCTTGCTCTCTCTCTGACAAATAAAATCTTTAAATAAATAAATTAATAAAATAAAAAAATTAATAAAATAAAATAAAATAAATAAAGCTCCAGCATGGAGCCCAAGGCAGAGCTTAAACTCATGACTGTGAGATCAAGACTTGAACCAAGATCGAGAGTCACTTAACGACTGAGCCACCCAGGCGCCCCTAATTTTTTTTATTTTGAAAAGGGGTTTTTATCCTTTTTTAGAAATAAAATTTTAAAAATAATTTTTAAATTAATTTTTTATATATAGAGAGAGCGTGAGCGTGTATGTGCCCGTGAGCATGTACGTGCACCTGAGCAGGAGGGGCAGAGAGAGAGTCTTAAGCAGTTTCCCTGCTGAGCATGGAGCCCGATAAGGGGCTTGATCCCATGACCCTGAGATCACGGCCTGAGCCGAATTCAGGAGTTGGATGCTCAACCAACTGAGTCACCTAGGTGCCCCTAAAAATAATTTTTAAAAATTAAATCACTTTTGGGGCACCTGGCTGACTCGGTAGGTAAAGCATGTGACTCTTGATCTCTGGGTCATGAGTTCAAGCCCTGTGTTGGGCATGGAGCCTACTTAAAAAAAGTTTAAATAACTTTTTAAATAAAAATGTTCTATTTGTGGTGCCTGGGTGTCTCTGTCAGTTAAGCACCCGGCTCTTGATTTTGGTTCAGGTCGTGATCTCAGGGTCATGGGGGCGAGCCCTCTGCTGGGCGTGGAGCCTGCTTAAGAGTCTCTCCCTCTCCCTCTGCCCCTCCCCCACTTAAAAAAATTTTTTTTTTTTTTAAGATTTTATTTATTTATTTGACAGAGAGAGAGACACAGCGAGAGAGGGAACACAAGCAGGGGGAGTGGGAGAGGGAGAAGCAGGCTTCCCGCAGAGCAGAGAGCCCGATGCGGGGCTCGATCCCACAACCCTGGGATCATGACCTGAGCCGAAGGCAGACACTTAACGACTGAGCCACCCAGGCGCCCCTTTAAAAAATTTCTACTTAAATTCTCTAAGCTAGGTAACGTGTGCAAGTATTTCAAGCGGCTGGCGCGTGGAGTCTGGTGGAGGGGCACCATTGTGGGCGTGGCCACGCTCCCTCCCTCTGAGCGGCTGGGCCGGTGCTGTGCCCGCGGAGCTGTGTGTTCTCTGCAAGGCCACCTTCTCGGGTCTGCTTGCTGGCGCATTCAGCGGGGACTGAAGCCCTCCCTTCTCCAGCCTTCAGTCCAGGGAAGCTGGCTCTGGCCGCCTGGATGGGACCAGTTCTCAGAGGGGGGTGAGGCTGTCTCTGGCTCCACAGCAGCCCGATCCGCGCCCCGGCTTGAAGCCAGGACCACGGCCCCCCCAATGTGCGCTGTGCTGGGGCAGCCTCAGCCTCCTGCCCTGCTTGGGTGTTCACGTCTCTGGCTTTATTGTGCTTTAATTGAGGGGTACAGGTGGCCCCTGTTGGAGTATTTTGTGTTCTAAAGCACAGTTGTCATTTTACTAGGGTTGAATTTCTCTAGGCCAAGAGAGAGGATTGAGGTGGAGGGAGGGTGTTCTCAGTCCTTAGTGGAAATCTCCCCATCTCTCCTTTTTTCCACCTGTTCCTCCACAGCCATCACACTCCTCCATTTGGTTGAGCTGGCTCCCCACTCCACCTCTTGTGCTCACACTCACTCTTTGGAGCAGTCTTAGGGGAGCTACTTCTGCAAGTGGAAGTGCTAACTTCCCAGGGACCCACTTTGGCTTCTGAGGCCACAGAAAATGCCCAGCTACTCTTCCTCCCATTCCTGTGCCTCCTTTCTGGGGCCTGGTTCTTACCAGGCCGCCGACCGGCACCACGCTATGGGGCTTTCCCCTAACTCCTCGGCCACTATGTGCTCCTGCCACTCTTCCTTCCGCATTCTGTCCACCTTAACCTGTGTCAAGGCTTCCACCACTTCCAAGGATGGGCGAGCCACCCCCCACTCCCTGCCACCCTGCTGCACACGCCCGAAGGGCACCCCGCCTCCCCATGGGGCTTTGTGCTGACGTCAGGGACATGGCCTGAGGCCGAAGCCAGCAGGGCAAGGTGCTGCTCACAGTCCAGCTCTGCGGACTGGAGTGGGATGCACCCGGCCCAGGCACTCCAGTCAGCTGACTGACCTCTACAAGACGGAGCCGGAGGGTTTGCCTTCCTGTTCTGGGAGGAACGGGGCTGATACGTCATTGTCAGGGGACCCTGCCCCACAAGTCATGGGTTCCAGGTACGTCTGCCACAGGGCCATCCCAGACTGGCTGTGACTATCCTGCTGAAGTCATCCAGGGATGAGAATGGATGGCCGGGTGATCACTGGCACGTTCTGGGGGGAATGCCCTGAGTCTCCGCCTTCCTTTCCCATGGGGAGGGATGGGGTTACGTGGCCCAGGTGCTCAGGGTCGTCCTGGGGAGACATGGCCCGCTTTGGTGCCAGGCTGCCCTGGGCACCACTGTATGTGAGCTCCTCCTTCTCCACTTCCTCTTGGGTCTTTGGACGCGATTCAGACATGTCCACCGCTTTCTTTTTAAGGGTTGTGTGGGATTATGTGACAAGCATCGCAGGACACAACAGGGTGATCGCTGGGGAGCTCCTGAGGGTCGTCCCTCCCACTGTCCTGCCTCCTGCCCCTGCGTAAGGATGAGGACTGTGCCTGGGTCTGTCTAGGGTGTTCTTTGCACATCCAGGCCTCCGTTTGTGCCGTGCCTGCCTGCTTCCTAACTTTTGTCTTCTGCTCTTCCCTCTGGCTCTGAGGGCTGTCCTCACCACTTGGTGTCCGCGGTGCGTGGGGGCCGCCCCGGCGGTGGGCAGCGCTGCCAGAATCCCGTGGCGTATGCTCGTTCTCACGTGTGCAAGCAGTTCTTGGGACGCGTTCCCAGAAGCATCTCTGGGTCAAAGGCCAGAGCATTTTTAGTGGAAGGGAAGTGCCACTTAGCACTCGCGACAGCCGCCTCAGTCACCTATTTCCCGTACCCGCCAAGACCACGTGTGCTTAAGAGTCTTTCTTTTTCTTACTTTGACACATGGAAGATGTGGTCTCTTGTTGCTTTATGGTATTTTCTTACATTACATTACAAAGGGGCATCTTTTCTTGTCTTTCTGTGAGGACTGTTTAAGCTGTATTGAGAACGCCCAAAGCGGGAAGTTTTTGTTGCTCTCGTGTCTCAAAGGTCGGGCTCGGCAGGCTGCGCTTCATTCCCCTTTGCGTGGGTCAGAGAAGGCCACGTGGACCCTTGGCGTGTGCCGCTTCTGAACTTGGGCCTCTCTGCCCAGCTGGGCCTGCAGCCTCCTCCCTGCTCCCTGCTCCCCGCTCCCGGGGGCTCTAGCTCAAGGCTGGAGTGGACCCCAGGAAGTGCCCCCAAGCCCTCT